CCTTTCTGAAATTTTTAGTTGATCCATATAGATATTATGTGATTGCCTTGAATTTTCTATATATAGGTCTACTTTGCCAATATTCATATATTTTTTATTTTTTTCTGATCTTTTTTGTATTGACCAGTAACTCTAGAACAAGATTATTGAATATAAATGTAGGCACTATTATATCTTGTTCCCATTTAATGATGATGTGGTCTAATATTTTACTCTTCAGAATGATATTTGGAAATTGGCAAAATGTTGATAATTGTTGAAGCTGAGTGGCAGGTATATAGTAATCGTTAATCTATTTTCTCTGTGTGTATGTTTTAAAACTTCTGTTATTAACAGTTAAATGAAAAAAAAAAGATTCAAATGAAAAGAAAGAACAAATTACAAAATAATCATGGGGGTGTAAAGTACAGCAAAGGGAATATGGTCAATAATATTATGATAACTATATATGGTGCAAGTGGGTAGTAGGCTTATCAAGATGACCACTTTTAAATTATATAAATATCTAATCACTATGCTATACACTTGTAACATAATATTGCATGTCAACTGTAATTGAAAAATAAAAAAGAACAAGACTTGTTTTAAGTTTTTGGTAGTAACCTCTTTTCAAATGAAGGAAGTATCTTCCCCACCCCTAGCTTATTGTAAATTTTTTATTTGGGATGGGTATAAAATTAAAAGTGTCCTCAAAAAAAGTATTTTGAAAGAAAAACTTTGACAAAAAATATTTTGAAAGAAAAACATTTCCATCTCAAACGACCAAAAGAAAAAGTATGAGAATCTCAATATAAAGAACTGAGAATTCATTCATCAAATATTTAGATCGGCTTCTTCTCTCTTTTCATCAAGCGTCAGTTTTCAATAAGAGTGGAAGTGCCTGTAGGGCCTGGCACATGCTGAAAACACAGAAGGGACTAAATTAATAATGTATCATTGCTAGAAGGTTTTTTTTTTTTTGAGAAAGACATCCATTGTGGCGGTTGTATTGCACAGCTAAGATCCCCTCTTCCAGGATGGAAAGCTTTATCCCTCAGATGCTCGGGTTAGAGTTGGCTCACATTTCCAGCTCCAATCTTTTCCAGGCGCTTCCCATGGCTGAAGAGAATCACCTTGTTCAAGTTTCTGTCCTCGTCCCTGGAGCACCTGCACCCACAGACTGGCCTGCACAGGGCTGTAGGATCTCAGCACCCTTGCCCAGCTCAGGACTGGCGTTGGCAGGGCTGGTTCCTCCTGAGGGCTGCGAGGGAAGGAGCTGTTCCAGGCCTCTCTCCTGGGTTTGTAGATTCCCATCTTCTCCCTGTGTCTCTTCACATTAACTTCTCTCTACATGTGTTTATGTCTGTGTCCAAATGAGATACTATAATACTCATTAGGATTAAGGTACACCCTATTCCTGTACCTTAATTTTAAATTAACAAATTACAGCCTTTACCAATTTTGCTCAGTGGACAGAGCATTGGACAGTGGACTGAAGGGTCCTGGGTTCGATTCCAATCAAGGGCATGTACCTTGGTTGTGGGTACATCCCCAGTGGGGGATGTGCTGAAGGCAGCTGATCAACGTTTCTCTATTCCTCTTCCTTCCTCTCTGTAAAATAATCAACAAAATATATTTAAAAAATAAATTAACAAGTTAAATTTGTAAGCACCTATCCTATCTAATCCTATATAATAAAAGAGTAATATGCAAATTAACCACACTCTGCTATATCCACAAGCCATGCCTACCACCCAATCAGGAGCAAGTATGTAAATTAACCCCAGTCAAGATGGCTGTGGCCACAGAGCTAGCAGAAGGCTTGAGTTGCTCCTGGCAATGGAGGAAGCCAAGCTTTCTGCACACTCTGGTTGGCCCAGGCTTCCACTCAAGGCTACAAAGTTTTAATTATAGAGGATAAATAAGTCCCAATGAAAATGGTGGCAGCAATGGAGCAAGCAGGAATGTTCAATATATAGAACATTCCCATCATGCCAGAAGGCAACCTCCTATGCCTTTGCAGTCAATCTCCTCTCCCTTCACTCTTGCCTCCAGATCCTGGCAATCCTGATCAGATTTCTGTCCCTCATTTTGCTTCTGGAATGCTATGTAAATGGAATTGTTCAGTATGTAATATCCATGGTGTTGCATGTATCAGAAGTTTGTTTCTTTTTATTGCTGATTGTATTTCATTACATGGATATATCACAGTTTGTTTATCTGTCCATCAGTTGCTGTACCTTTGAGTTGATTCCAGTTTTTGGCTTATCCTACCTAATAAAAGAGTAATGTGCAAATTAACCATCACTCCGCTACACCCACAAGACACGCCCACCAGCCAATCAAAGTGAGTATGCAAATAAACCCAACCAAGATGGCTATGGCTACAGACAGCAGGAGGGAGGCTTGAATTTCCCGGACTTGGCTTCATCTGCCCTAGCTGGCCTAGGCATCCATTCAAGGCTACAAAGTTTCAATTGTAGAAGGTAAATAAATTACAGATACCAGGGACTCCTTTTGGGTCGCCAGGGGACATGGCTGGCCTGCAAACCACCACAAGCCCCTTGCCCAGGCCACCCCATGCCCAAGGGAATCCTCACTCTGATCCAGGACACTCTTCAGGGCAAAACAGCTGGACCTCACAGGGCACTAGGCCTCTATCCTATATAAAAAAAAGAATAATATGAAGATTGACCATTACTCCAACACACAAGATCAAGATGGCTGCCCCCATGTGGTCAAAGATCCTGCCTCCATTGGACACAAGATGGCCACCACAAGATGGCCAGCAGGGGAGGGCAGTTGGGAGGCACCAGGCCTGCAAGGGAGGGCAGTTGAGAGGGGCCAAGCCTGCAGGGGAGGGCAGTTAGGTGTGGCTAGGCTGGCAGAGGAGGGAAGTTGGAGGCAAACAGGCTGGCAGGGGGAGCAGTTAGACATCAATCAGGCTGGCATGGAGTGGTTAGGGGGTGATCAGGCTGGCAGGCAGAAGCTGTTAGGGGCAATCAGGAAGGCAGGCAGGTGAGCAGTTGAGAGCCAGCAGTCCTGGATTGTGAGAGGGATGTCCTACTGCCCATTTAGGCCTGATCCCTAAACGGGAAGTCGGACATCCCTCTAGGGGTCCCAGATTGGAGAGGGTGCAGGCTGGGCTGAGGGACACTGCCACACACACACACACACACACACACACACACACACACAAATTTTGTGCACCGGGCCTCTAGTTATGAATAAAGCTGCTACAAATATTTGCCTACAAGTGTTTGTGGGGACTTATGTTTTTCCTTGAGAAAATTCCTAGGAATGTGATTGTTTTTTTTTTTTTTTTAAAAATCAATCTTTATTGTTCATATTATTACAAAGGTTCCTCATTTCTTCCCCCCTCCACCAAGTTCCCACCCCACCCTCTGCCCCTTCCCCATCCCCCATTGTCCTCATCCATAGGTGCAGTTTATGTTCAGTCTCTTCTTTCCTCAATTTCCCCAATAGTAAATCCCTTTTCAGATAGTAAATCAGTTACTTAGCATTTTCTCATATCAATAATACCTCCACATGCCAATTGATACACTTCACACAAAAGACATTTCCCAATAGGTCCACTAGCCTCATCCAGGCCCCACCCAAGGCACTCACAGATCAACACCCCAGTCCTAAACTAACTCAACACATCCAGATCTAAGCCTTCATCACTTGATTCAGCAGATCCTCAAGTTCGGAATGTGATTGTTGTGTCATATGGTAAGTATATGTTCTACTTTGTGAAGAAATGATATACTGCTTTTTAAGACATTAATTCCATCCAATGGAGAAACATGAACCAATGCATATTATATTCCAAACACAAGCTAGGTAAATTTCTCACTTGGGGTGAGTGAGGGTTGGGGAGAGAGGATTGTAATATGACTTTATTGTAGTGACTCAGCCCTGGATAATCATTAGAATCTCATAAGCCGCTTTTATAAAGTTTGATGCTAGTTTCCAACCTCCCCTTCAGAATTAATAAGTTTTGGTGAAACCTTATATATTTGAAAGAGCCTCTGATGATCCCAATTATAGCAAAGATTGAGGACTTCTCTAGTGGAAGTTCTCTCCTGGAAAATGGTGCCTGTGGAATAGAGATGAGGCATTTTTAATAACCAGGAGGCCATTTTCTTGATGAAAGTGAATCAGTAATATGGTAAAATTGGTGCTATTATATGAAATGGTATAAAACCAATAACATTTTTGGGCTGTAAATATATTTAAAAAGTGTTATGTCTTGCATGAATTTTTAAAAATGTATGTAAGAGAACTGTAATTCTGAACTACTTAGGACACTTTAAAATCTAATTTAAAATGTTTTTATGTTCTCATATAAAAACCTCAGCTCTACTGCACTTTTTCAATATCAAATATAAAAAAGACTTGCAATTTTTTTTTGTTAACTCTGACAAAAATGTTGCCTCTCCTGATCAGTTGAATATATTCCATAGTATAAAGATGATTCAGTTTTAAATAGCAAAATTTTTTTTGAGAAAATCTAAGCCAATTTTAGGCTATGATTAACAAAACAAACTACTGTTTGGTATTCCTCCTCTACCCCCCATGGCTTGTTCTTTCTTTATTGGGTGCTTTGTAGATGTCATGCAGGAATAAGGCCCTGATCCAGAGCTCCAAACCAGAAGCAGAAGGAAATGGGGCAGTGGGCTGAGTTGTATTTTTCCAACATCACCAAAACCCAGAAAACCAGGATCCTAAGCTCCTTTACAAGCCAACCAGGATGTGGGCCCTTGGGCTAACCCTCAGGTGCCTCTGGCTGCATCACTCAGAGTCAGGAATCAACAAGGGGCTGGTAGGAATAGCCGGCTGAGTCCAGACATGGACAAAAATAATGAGGACAGAAAATGCACAGGTACCGCCCAGCTGTAGATAGGATCACAGAGTGTAGCTAAGGCAGGTGGGAGCAGGGGAGGAGCTGGGGAGTGGTATTGCAGCAATGCAGGAGTGTGGCCCCAGGGGCCTGGCCCATCTGTTCAGGGTAGGGCTCACACATTGTGGGTCCTCCTGCTAAGCTGGGACTCTTCACCCACTAGCTTGAGGCACTCCTTAGAGGCCAGGATGTCTCCAGGCCACTTGGTGATTGTCTGCTTCTCACAGACCCAAATTTCTTGTGCTACCTGCTGAATAAGTCTGAAATCATGGCTGACCAGCATCATGCCACCCTCAAACTCATTGATGGCATCAGCCAGGGCATCAATAGTCTCAGTATCCAGGTGATTGGTGGGCTTGTCCAAGAAGAGCATGTCGGGGTTCTGCCAGGCCAGACACACCCGGCACTTCTGCCCATCAGACAGGTTCCAGATCGGGCTCACCTGCTGTTTCCCAGTGAAACCATATCACCCAATGATCTTCCTCATTTCTTCTTCCTCTTTGATCTCTAGATAGCACTTCATCATGTACTCCAGAAGGGAGAGGTCCAAGTCCAGCTGCTCTTATAAATGCTGATGGAATCGCCCTATCTTAACATGAGAGTGTTTTCGGATCATCCCGTCTGTGGGTAATAGCTCTCCAGGTAGCAGCTTCAAAAGAGCTGACTTCCCTGCTCCATTGGGTCCTACCAGAGCCACTCATGTGTCAAGGCCGAGACCAAATTCTAGATTGTTGCAGATGCATCTTTTGTATACTTGAAGCTCACATTCTGCACCATAATGAGGGTGGAGAGATCTTGTCACATGGTGGAAAATAAAATGACAATGTCTTGTCGCTCACGGCTCCCCTCTGTCAGTCCTGACACCATCATTTTCTGTCTTCTCCTTGCTCTGGGCCTGCCCAGTGCCAGCTTAGCGTTGCCACGACCAAACCTAGCAATGTAATTCTTCATGTGCGCAATCTGATCTTGCTCTCAGTGAAACCTCTTCATGTGGTTCTCCTCCAGCTCCAGCCGTGTCTTCAGATTACTGGTCATAATTACCCGTATAATACTTCAGTTTCTTGTTGTGCATGTGAATGATGTTGGTACGGATACCATTCAGAAAGTCCTGGGAGTGGGAGACGAGGACCAGGTTGTGCTTAAAAGTCTTTAGTTCCTCTTCCAACCACACACAAGCATTGAGGAGGTCCAGGTTGTTGGTGGGCTCGTCCAGGAGCCGCATGAAGGGCCGAACGAAGAGAGCTTTGGCGAGGGCAACCCTCTCTTCCAGCCTCCACTGAAGTCTTTTAGTTTCTTGCGCTGCATGGCAGGTGTGAAACCCAGTCCGTGCAAGATCCGTGAGGCTCTCATCTCTGCCTTGTCAGCATCCTACTCCTCCAGACGCTCGTAGAGCTCCATGAGCTTCTCAAGCTCCGTATCCTCGTGAGCCAGCCGCTCAGCCTCCTTCTCCAGCATGGCCCGCTCTTCCATCACACACTGCAGGGCTGTCTTGTCACTAGGGGGCATCTCCCGAGTCAGATGGTAGATGTCGAGATGCTCAGCGCCCTCGCACTTCTTCTCCGCCAGCTCTGGGGAGAAGTGGCCCACGCCCCCAGAGCCACACCGTAGAGGTGGAAACCGAAGCCCAGAGAGAGGTAGGTGCGGGAGGCCCGCAGATGCCGGGTGACCAGGCTGGTTACGGCAGCATCCATCTCAGTGGAATAATTCTGATGAATTTGGGAGCTCACGGTTGTTCACCAATAGGAGTTAAGGTAAAAAAGCATAAACAAAAATGTTGGCTGGTCTCATAAGCTGAGGGGAGGGCTGAGGTGGCTCCAAAAGTGATGACTAGAAAAGAGGTTGGAGAGTGGTTGGAGGCTGGGCGAAGGGACATCCCTGGGCCTGTTTCGTCCAAACAGAGGAGACAGACCCGGGAGACCACTGAGGGCAACTTTGTTCTTACTAATTTTTACAAGCTCAATTTAATGTAGGCATTAACCCTTTACTTGTTTAACTACTGTAAATATTATTTAGTCCATTGTATTTCTTTCCAGTTTAGTTTTTGTTTAGCCCAAGTTATGGATTAAAAAAAAATACATTGTTATTGATTTCAGGGAGGAAAGGAGAGGAAAAGAGAGATAGAAACATCTATGATGAGAGAGAATCATTGATTGGCTGCCTCCTGCACGTCCCCCACTGGGGATCAAGCCTGCAACCTGGGCATGTGCCCTTGACTGGAATCAAACCCTGGACCCTTCAGTCTACAGGCTGATGCTCTATCCACTGAGCCAAACCAGCCAGGGGAGTTTTGGATTTTTAATGATAAAATTATTATTATTATTATTATTATTATTATTTTGTTTTTAATTTTTTATTAATTTTTAAAACGTTTTTCTCATTTTTTATTAAGATATTATATATGTGTACATATCTTACCATTGCCCACCTCCACCCACTCTCATACCTACATGCCCCTCCCCCACAGAGTTTTGCATCCATTGTTTATGCTTAGATGCATGCATACAAGTGCTTTGGTAAATCTCTTATCTCCCCCACCTCTCCCTAACCGTCCCGTTGTAATTTGACATTCTGTTTGATGCTTTACTTTTTCTGTATCTATCTTTTTGTTCAACAGTTTATGATGATCTTTGTTATCCATAAATGAATGAGATCATGTGGTATTTTTCTTTCATCGACTGGCTTATTTCACTTAGCATAATGTGATAAAATTATTTATCATTTTATTTGTAGTTTCTTCTGATGCTTCAAAACTTAGAAAGTTATTACTCCTTGCTGGGAACTTAATGGTAGTGGAAGGAGAGTAAGGCAATCAGGCAGATAGAGCTAAGGTTATACAACAGTTGTATTGTTAAATGGTGTGTGTGCGTGAAAAACATTTTCCCACAAAGGCATTATGTTATCCTTCCTGAAAAGTATTCATTTCTTCAGTATGGCTGGTACCCATGACACCCAGCTGTGCAGTAAGAATGCCATAGGGAGTGTGGCACTTTATGGGAAATTCAGCTTTAGGTAGGTAGCTAAGTAGTTTGTTCACAATCAGAGTAATTTGTCTTGTTTTGGTTATTTGAGATGAACTTGATGAAATTTAACTAAAAATAGAAATCTAACTAAAACATAGGTCCAGGAAAGAGTGAAATCTCACAATGGTGCAATTGTTGCTAAATAATTTCCTACTTGTCCCCAAATTGACCTATTTCAGAAGGATTAGGGAGGCCTCATTTTACAACATGCTATAAGAAAGAAGAGAGGTTAAAAGATCATACTGCCTCATTGCTACATGCCTGGAGTGCTTAGAATAACTAAAGATTTTTGGGGAGGTCCTCAATTCAAATATTCTATTTCGTTGTTCTATGTTTACTCCGACACTTGTCAGATTACAGGCCCCAACTTCTACTCAAAAAGTACAGTCACCAGATAAATTTGGGAATAGATTCCTAGCTGATATTCTGAATTCCATTCTTTTCTTCTAATCCATTTTGCTTATCTTTTATAAAAATATATTTTTATTGATTTCAGAGAAGGGAGAGGGAGATAGAGATAGAAACATCAATGATGAGAGAAAATCATTGATTTGCTGCCTCATGCACCCCCACACTGGGGATCAAGCCCACAACCTAGGCATGTGCCCTGATCGGGATTTAAATGGGGACCTCCTGGTTGCTAGGTTGATGCTCAACCACTGAATCACATTAGCCAGGCAGGATTCATCTCTCTTATCTTTAGAAAGGCCTTTAACTATATAAAGCAATGCTGTCCTAATTAAGTCTTCTCATCTGATGTATTTTCGACTCCCCAAGGATATTTCTACACATCAGTTATAATCCTTTTTACGTCAGTTGCATGGAAGCCTCTTAAGGAATGTTCAGTTTTTTGGAATGCCTTCAGCATGGGCCAAAGTGATTGTGTAATATTGCAAAAGTCTGTGGTTTGAAGCTTTCCAAAAGTCTTATCTCAACAGCCCAGACACAGGACTCTGCCAATAGTTACCACTTTTCCATTTCCCATTGTGTAGTCTGTAGATAGCCTTGATGAGGATTGAGGGTTATACGGAGGGCATCATGGTTTGTTTTACGTGTAACAGGATACCGAATGGGACTCTTGATGGTGTTTTGAAATTTCACCTGAAACCCTAAAGCTGAGAATAAAAGTTACAAGTGTCTCCAGATTTCAGAATAGGTCACTAGCACTAGACATACCCATGCAAAAATTGTGAAAAGATAGGAAAATTGCTACAGGAGAAGGGGATTCAAGAGACTTTGGGTGTAGTGGACAGTGTTGTGGTACTTCCTTTTCTCTTCTTATAGGGGCCCTCAAGAAAATTGGGGCTCCAATGGTGCCCTGGGGTTGGGATAGAGTAAGGTGAAAGAATTCATGGAGACACAGATATGTATTTTCTGGAATTTAGGAACAGAAATGAATGGAAACTGGTGCTTGCTTCCTGGCTGTTGAGGCTGGAATGTGAGAGGCTGGTGAGAACCACCAGTGAATCCTAAATGAATGAGGAGGGCAGCAGCGAGAGCTGTTTGCACAACCAGATTTTGTAATGGTGGGGATATGTGTCTTATAATGGAAGACAGCTGGCTTTGGACCAGGGCTCTTGCTTATGGGATGAAGGCACCCCAGCAGTAAACTGCTATATGGTATACGTCTGGGCAGGAGCTGAAAGATTTGCAGGAAACTTCTGGAAGAAGAGGGAGGGTGATTGACTTAGGAGGGGGTTCTTTTTAGCAGGTCGTCCCCATAATGAACCTCTGAAATGCTCACAGATGCATTCCTTTGGAGAGCCAGCATTTGGTTCCTTCTACATCAAGGCCATGGTCCACTGTATTATAATAACATAAAAGACAAATTTGCTCCTCTTCCTCCAATAACCATCTCCCTAGAGAAACTGAGGCAGCATGGTGAGGGCAAGGAGAATGAATTACAGGGAAGAAGGACAGATAGTACTTCCTTTCTATGCTGTAGGACTATAGTCACCTGCCATAGATTAGGGTGGGACTAGGTATTGGGGGACTCTGAATTGGGTAAGTGATTTAAGTTTTAAATAGGACTTTTTAGTGAGTTTTAATTCTTGAAAGTATCTTAAAAATCTATGAGATATGCCTGAGACATTACTCAGAAGTGATGAAGGGTGATTTGACAGAGCAAGTTGGGACAGAGTAATTGGAGAAAAATAAAACTGTCTTCTGTTTGTACACCATTAGCTCATTAGATAAACTGATTAAATAAACAGTAATTTTGGGTAAATTCCAGGGATGCCAAGCCCTAGGGATAGGTGGGCAACAGAACGTTGGTATTATAGACTCTTTGCTTTTCTGAAGTTTTTGATATTGCTGTTTAATTTTGTAAAAGGTTTTATTTTGAAATAAGGTT